CGAAACTAGTTTTTGCTTATGAAAACATAGCTTAAAGTATTGGCTATCGAATGTTGAAAATTGCATGTTAATAACTTGCGTCTTTCACGACTTATAAATAAATTTAACCCAAACAAAAATCGGGAATGAACGGGTTAAGTTATTCTGTAAATAGAAGCAAAGCACAAAATGATTAAATTCTCAGAATCTGTATTAGTTCGAGCGCTCTGTACATGGATAACATGTCCGAGTTCGTTCAAGGCTGTAATCGATGGAAAAATTTTTCACAGTTTGCGAGCTCAGGATCTATACAAAGTAGACTTGGAACGAATGATCAGAACATTATGTCAAACGTAGAGATATTATTTATAGGAGAGATATTCGTATTAGAACATTTTTTAGTTGATGTTCTCCTGGATTTGATCTTCCGACCTTTCATATGCTGTACTTCTCCAACTACGCATTTTCTCATTACACTAAATCGTACAAAGAAAACTACGAGTTATGATGATACATTCATATGAAGGCCGTATACTTATTTATATATTTAAATAGTCTTTACAAGTGATCACTCACATGTTACTAGCTATACTATACATAAATGTGAACCTTATTTAACGTCGACACGAAGTGTACGACTGGTCCTTTTACTACCGCTGCTAGTTAGTCGGTGTCCTACACCCAAGGACTTATACTCTACAGTTGGAGAATAGTGATGGGGTTAGAGTATGATGTCTGTTATTCTAGACAATTATTCCTATAATGAATAGTTTGCCTAGATCAACGATATAATAAGTGTTTTCGCTTATAAAAACGTTTCGTATTGTAAGTTCCTTTCTGTGTAAAAAAAGCTAGAGGTACTAGCATCAACAATAATGGAAGCCATCATTACCCTAGGCAAGGACGCCGTTATGCTGGGATGTTTCTAATGAAACTGTTGAGGCAGATATTTCGCCAAACAGTTTTGAAATAACGTGTTTTTCTAATATATTTCAAAAGAATCCTTGCACGTATGTTAACAACAATCGCTCAAATTAATGCGAAAATGTTGCCCATATGATGCTCTATATGGCTTTTCAGGAAATCGGATGAGTTTCCGGAAATCAAATGGCTTTCCAGGAAACCAAAGTAATTTCCGGAAATCAAACGGCTTATTATAATCTAATTATAATCATTATTTTGATCGAAAAAAATGTTTTAGCTGCATAAAAAATATTTAATTAGTTGAAAAGCGCGCCGATTATTCTTTAACGATTAATTATTTACAAAAACTTTTTCAGTTCCGATCTTTCGATATCTTTTTTAATTTTTTAATCGCATGCAGAGATATGATACGTGATAGTACCGATAATGATGACTATGAAGATAGTATTATTCGACAATCACGGCAGTCAACGATAATGGAGAGAGATGAAGTCAGATCACCAACGGAAACAAAAGCAATAGAAACAACAGAATTTAAGAAACGAAATTTATTTATTTTTCTAATTATTGGTTTAACACTTTTGATAGCTGGAGAAGGTTTTCTTGCATATAAAATAGGATTATTTGCTGGGGAACCATTAAGTACGTATATGCTGTTATTCATAAGTGAAATGCGGCTAAGTTGTAAATCTATATTTTTCAGATATTTTTTATACCACCATGATAGATGGTGTTCCCGAAAAGTGTATGTTGTAAGTGAAACAGTTTTGTTACATGACGTTTATGATATTTTTCTTTAGACACTACCACCTCTAATGACAATGAGGTTGAATTACTTGACAATTCAACAGGTAACTGTAAAATTTCATTAAGAGAAACTCTTATCTATTATGTATTCTCTTGTTTTTAGCAAATATTGTTGACAACACTGCATCAACGATAGATGTTCAATGGACACAATCTACCATTGTAACGGCAACGACAATGGATAGTACAGACAAACTTCCAATTCAAGTTCCGTCGTGTAATAACCTATCATATCAGTGCGGTTGTCGCAAAGGTTATTGTTGGACAACATGCTTTGATAAATTTTGGTGTTATTCGAGTAACAGATCAACAAGTATGAGTGGGTATTATGTAAAATGTACAAAGAGTCCAGAATGCCAGCTAAACTGGAGATGTGGTGGCCTTTGTGGAATCTGATGAAAATAGCTGAAGGAAGATGTCTTTTGCTTACACGAGGGCTTTGAAGAACATTTATGCATCTGTTGAATATCTGACGTGGTCGATAGAATTCTAACATAATTATTCTTTTTCATTCTTTTATTCAGGGGTATTACTAAAAGACGCGAACACCCACGAACATCCACGAACACCCCCAAATTAAAATCTGAGTTAGCCAATCGATAGAACTCATCGAGCTGAGTATAGCAACGCCTAACGAACACCCAAAAAAGTGTACCAAATTCATCTCCAGGTAATTCTGGGCTGAGGGTGAGATGTGGATGAGCCTACCAGTACCTCACCCCCACCCCCACACCACACCCTCAGCCCAGAATAATCTGGAGATGACTTTGGTGCACTTTTTTGGGTGTTCTTACCCTTTCTTCTTTGTGTTCGTGGGTGTTCTTTGGGTGTTCGTGGATGCTCGTTCAAAATGTATGCTTAAAAAGCGAAATTATAAAAACTTTTTTGGGTGTTCGTTAGACGTTGCTATACTGAGCTCGATGAGCTCTATCGATTGGCTAACTCAGATTTTAATTTGGGGGTGTTCGTGGGTGTTCGCATCTTTTAGCAATACCCTTTATTCAGCGATCACAACACGATTTTCAACAGTTTTTAAGTATATTTTGTCTGTTATCACTGTTATATCATATAGTGATGCCTTCTCTCTAACAATTTTCAACCGCCGATGGTCATTTTCCAATGTATCTATGTCCAATTTTCTATATTGCTTATTTTGCTTCAATGCGTATGTGAAAATTTTTTGTCGCTGCACATTTGTTTTAAGGAGTATCCTACTTCAAATGCATCAGTACTTTACGGATAAATGAAAATAAGGTAGATGTAATAGCCGTGTATCAATGAGTCTATCATTATATTCTGAAAGAAATGTTACTTTGACTGTGTTGGATTCAGTTCCACATCACGCTCTTAATCGAATGAAACCTGACAGTATACACTTTCTGCATAATATATTTCCTTATTTTTAAAAATTGAGAATGAACAAAAGCGATATAAAAAACAAATTTATCTACAGTGGCAGCCAAAATTGAGCGTTCACGCCTGCATGATGACACTGATTTTGTTCTCATTTCAAAACAAAATCAATGTCTTCATGTACCCAGGACGAAAAAGACGGGCAATAAACTGCTCATTAACTGCCAATTGACAACCTGTTAGCTATCATAAAATCATCTAAAAACTGTCTACTTTCTTGGCCATTTTTTAGCTCTGCAAAAATACCGTCTAATAACTGCCAGTAAACGAAAAACCCCCAAAACTACTATCTATATAAAAATATAGTGTACTCGGATATTTTTTGAATAACTTTTGATAGGAAAGAGCTAGAGAGCTCCGATTTTCGTCATTGGAAAGCGAATACTTGGAGCCATCTTTCTGTAACCGAAATTATTTTTAGACGAGTTTTCTAGAAGATCTTTGGAAAACTAGGCCGTCTGTAAAAAATTTCCAGTAGGGTTGTATTGCTTTTCTTTCATGGGCTGATAGCTCGGGGTGCCCTCTTGAAAATGTTAGTCAAATGAGACGTTGATTTTCCGCGTTTCGGGCGTTGTGTCGGATTTTCTACCAGCTCCAGGACTGGCACTCGGTGACTATTGGTAGCCTTAAAGACGGATGGACTATGGATAATCGACTATGCTGAGTCTCGTGGCAATATTTGTTTTATAATAAGTTTTGAAAATCTACCAAAAAGCCAATTTTGCGGAAATTAGGATTTTCAGGCTGTTTTCACCTAATATTAGAAAAGTTCTGAACTCGTTCTGACGTTTTTTGAGTGAATAGGGAATTGAATGAAAATTCTTTGACCAGCTTTATTTTACTTCCTCTGAATTTTACCTACATAATCTCATTTTGAGAAAATTTCATTGAATTGATGTGGGTAATTTTTTTAAGAATACGGGCTCAAGTCCTATGGCTGTGTGCCTCAAAAAACAAAAATCGCTTTTCTCAGTAACGAAGCAATATTTTCCAAAACCCTTTCATAACTCCCACGTATATGATGATTAAGATGAGGTAAAAAAATCTGTTTTATTAGGACTAGATAGGTTTGCAGGATTGTATAGGCGCATTTTCCCGATTCTGCTCGTGATTCGCAAATGTCAAAAACAGTTTTGAATTTAAAAATGCTAAAAATAAAGGTTTAAACTTAGTTTTGCATGCTGAATTAGAAAAAGTAGTCTGGAAATTATACAAAAGGAATAAGCGGCGCTATTATTTGGTTTTGTTTCTTCTCAAAAGATCAATATTTTACATTTTTCACCGAAAAATCACTTTTAAAAAATGGAGTCTGTTCTACGTAAGGTCCCGCTAATTCAAAGATCGAGCAAGATTGTGTGCGCGTTTTCCTCGAAAAATAGTAAGGCTTCGTTTTTTCGAAAAATTTCAACTCTTTAGAAAAAACGCAATATCTTAGGTGCAGAAGGTCGCCGAACCTTCCGAATGCTATTTTTCCGGAATCAGTAGATGACAGTGGGTATAGAAAAGTGTATTTCGATTTTTCTGAGTCGTGAGAACTCATTCAAAAAAATTCATTTCCAAAAGTTGCTCAAAAAAGAGCACTCGTGCTCAAAAAGGCATCAAGTCGTTTCCGTAAAGCGCTAGACACTGGAATTTGATGCCATTCGAACCGCCTTAAAATGGAGAATAAAGTTATAGCTCCAAATAAAAAATTTGTTCTTTCCTCTTGAACGACTTTACTTTTATTTGAAAGAACGGTGACAACGGTCGTAAAAATGCTCTTGAAATTTATTTGTCGCTGAAACCAATAAATCCAGTTTCAAATACAACGATCTATAGTAATATTGACAATGTTTTTGTCGAGTTAGCAGATTATAAGCAAGCTTTAGAGATGTATAATACGGCTCTTGAACTGCTGCGACTGCACGACTCATCGTTTATTAAAGATGATCTAGGCCTAGCACTAATCTATAATAATATAGGTGGTTGTTATAATCAAAATGGTCAGTATAATCGCTCAATCGAAAACTATGAAAAGTCAATTAGTATTAAACTAAAATATTTGCCTTCAAATCATCCATCATTCGGAATAACCTACAGTAATTTGAGTGATACATGTCGTACAAATGGTAATTATAAAATAGCATTAAAATATTGTCAGAAAACAGTTGATATTCATCTGTTAACATTACCAAAAGATCATATAGATCTTGCAAAACTGTATAATGCTATGGCTAACATTTATATTGTTAGTGAAAATTCAATAAAAGCGAAAAAAAATGATGAGTTAGCACTTGAAATTGTATTAAATCAAATGGAGCAGAAGCATCCACTCTTAACTACCATCTATAACAACATTGCCACTATTTGTTTGAATGAATATCAATATGAACTTACAATCAAATACTTTAAATGTGCATTTGATGAAATTGGTTCTTCGGACACAATCGGTCATGCCGTTATTTATAATAATCTTGGTGAAATTTATCGTAAGACTGGTAATTACACAGAGGCATTAATTAACCATAAAAAGGCACTGGATATTCGAATGACATTGTGTCCTTCGCTCGATCATTTTAATTTTGCACAATCATATCGCAACGTTGGAACAGTATTCAGTGACAAGGAACAATACGATACCGCTTTAGATTATTTTGAATTATTTTTGTTTTTTTGATTATTTATTGATAATAAGAAAAGAGAAAAAAAGAATAATAAAAGATGCTACATGAATGTTGTCAAAAGGTGGTGCATCAAAAAGCATGAGGGCTTATAACTACAACAAAAAAAAATTGTAGTAGACATATACCTGATAGAAAGGTAGGATACATGGATAGATAACAGATCAGAAGGAACTCAAATACAGTTTTAAATTGCTTTTAAAAGATTTTACATTAGGTGCTGAAGCAATATACGAAGGTAAATGATTCCAATCAGTAGAAGTAGAGGAAAGGAATACTGAACATTAGTTAGAGTGGTAAACGGTACAACGACACGCAAAGGATTCAGATTTGTATTAAGTCTCTCAGATCTCCTAATAGTGACAGGTGATTGGGTAATGAGTTCATCGCGGTTTAAAGTGCATAAACGATGGAAAATACGATAGTAGTTGACTAAACGAAAATGGAGACGGCGATTAGTTAAATTAGGAAGGCCTAAATCGTTAGCAAGTTTAACACTATCTGTAGTATAGTCGAACTGTCGAGCTGCAAGTTTTTACACAGACTCAAAGGGTTTAGTGTGCGTAATAAACTTAGTATCAAAAACTGCGCTGCCATAGTCCAGTTTAGCCAAAACGCAAGTATTGTAAAGGTGAAGACGAAGAAAAGTTGGAGCTTCAGCAAATGTTCTGTTTATGGCACCTAACATACGACGCCAAGTTAAAGCAGTTATTTTAAAATGGGATTTTCAGCTTAGATCGTGTGAAAAATACAAACCCAAAAACTTGGGTGTATTTTCGTGTTTTTTAATGATAGTTATTTACTTTGTTTTTATTTCATTTGTCTTTGTTACGTTTTTTCAGACAGCCAGGTACAATGCTCTGCGATTCCTGACTGTCTTGATGCTTATTTCAGATGACAAATAAATATAGATTAAACTATTTTCGTGTTTAAGAGATTCTCCATTGATGCTAAAACTGAGAGAAGTAGATGAGTTAGCAGACAAGGAGAAATATGTCCAATGACACTTGTCAGAACTTAAAGACAAAAAAATTTTCAACAGACACTTGATTTACAATCGAAATCTTTTGACTCAAATGATTTAACGCTTTCAACAACATATATAAACATAGCAACAGTCTACAGTGGAAAAATGATTATACAAGTGCATTAGCTTATTTACAACGGGCTTTAAATATAAAATTGAGACATCTCTCACCTAATCATTTAGAATTTGGTTTATAATACAATAACATTGAAACAATCTGCTTGAAAGCTCAAAACTTTACTGGTGCGGGTGAAAGTTTTAAGCACGCTCTAGGGATTTATTCGCAACATTCATTAGCAAATACTTCTGAAATTGCAACGACATTCAATAATATTGGAGCATTGTATCAGTTGAATGGTGAATATAAATTGACGAGAGAAAACTATGAAAACTCATTAGTATTTGACTTGACATCATTATCAGGAAATCATCCAAATATTATACAAACCAAACAACAAATATCATTAATAGATGCACTTCTTTGAGGAATAAAAAATACTTGTTGTCATCTAGTTCCTGTTTCGATCATTTTTCGACTTCATATTGCATAGTAGCTTTATAAGTATTTTATTTATTAACAATAGAGATTTACTCCCTTTTGTTCGCTTCTACATTCTCCTCTATTAGAGAAACGTAAGATTACAAAGTGAAAGAAACAGACCATAAGAACAAAAAGTAACAAGATTAATAACTGTTCTCTAGTCATTACAAAACCAGAGTATTGAAGTTTCTACTGACTTTTGTCTTATTTTTCCTGTATGTTAGTCAAGACAAAACTAATAGGCTATGGAAACAAAATCAGTGAATAACAAAAAGTTTTACAGTGATAGAGGAGCTCAAGAACTCAGGGCTGGCTGAGTCTGGACTGAAAGATTTTTTTATGAACTCGGACTCGTACTGGAGTTTTTGTATTTCGAGTTCAATCGAATCGACTTTTAACATAAATGAACAAAGAAATTTGCATTTTTTCAATTAAATATGGGATATTTAGACGCACATATGTTACTCTCTTTGTGTTATACAGCACGGGAGAAAAAAGAAATATAAATAATGACAACCAAGAAAGTTTGAAAAAATTGTTGAACTCTAAATGGATTCAGGACATGGACTCGCGACTGTATTTCAAAGACTCGGACTCGGTTTGCTCGCTTCATGACTACGATGTGGCATTCCTTCGGACTCTAACTAGCGACTTCAAATCTAGTGTAAATGAAGATCTACTCATATGCAGATCACCGTAAGATTGATAAGATGGATGATTTACGAGATATAAATGTTTTTTTCGTGACAGCTTACTACTGATCCAGCAAGATGATATCGTTTTCTGTTGCTGAAAGTGTAGCCATGGCTACTAGTTACGTTTTGTCACATTATTTTGTGCCAGAAACTAGTTAAGATGAATCAAAAACTCTAGTACAAATCCACTTGAAGAGACTATAGAACAGTTTCCATCAAATGATCAGATTGAAAACTGTGATCTGTGCATAATATCAACGCACGAGTTAAAGAATATACTCAAGAAGATATTCAGATTTTTTTCTATTTGTTTCTTCTAAGAAGACGAAGTTGCATCTAATGGAGACATGATAACTATTTGTGTTATGATGCAATTGAGATGATACTGTAGCAAATCGGAACATTCTGATAGAGCATGAAAATCGACAGTTTTTGCTATATACGCATTGCCTTGAAATTCTGAACAAGGGGTTAGAATTACCATTAACACATTTCGTTCGCTTCCAAGTCTCAATGATTACAAGATGGTTCTTTTTACAACGTTTTTGTTATTTTGATATCTTTATTTTAGTTATAAAGAGATATTATAGATAGAGTTATTCTAGCCTGCTTTATTATTTGTATGGTTTATTGCTGCCAAACCACATTTTCTGAAAAAGAACATAAAAGTAGTGATTCCGAAGTGCCATTACTCGACCAATACAATGACCTATATGATAAAAGAGTCTGTTTTTGTTTATGCTGTATTATGTTTGTTGCAACATGAAAAAGGTAGAAGGAAAGTTGGAAGAGAAAATCTCTTCTTCCTTTCTTCTTTTGTTAGAATGTGCATCAGGAATGATAAAACATCTTGACAACAATTTCTGTAGGCTAATGAGCACACAAGGAAAAAGATAGACGTAATAACCATATGGATATAACGCTGATATTATTAGTTTAGGCGAAGAGACGATTAAATACTTACACGCAACTTTACGTCTATGTCCTTTGTGCCGATGATTTCGCACGAGTAAAAGAATAGAACAGTCAGTATTATTCAAAATTTCATTATCAACACGTAAATCAAATGTTACGTGCATTTTGAACCTTTGTGGTTCGAAGTCCAAGGTTTATTACATGATGACTTGAGTGGAGTCTACAGTACAGAGAATCGTTGTCTTTTCCTTGTTTCGACATACGAAAACGTAAAAAGCTGCTTTTCAGCGTACACGACGATGCTATTATAGTAAAAAGATAAACTAGTCACTGTGCGTGATAAACAAAACAAAGTCGAATGAGATCAATCGGAGTTACTGCCTCACAACGAACTATCGTTGGTGGTGCATGAATTCCACTACACGTGATAAAAAGTTATCAAACTCAAAAACTATATTTCGACCTTTGTTTTCATTCAATCAGATGATAATAGATAAATATTATCATTGCTTTCACAGCCAGTAACAATATTTATGACATAATCTCGTCAGATGAAGATACTAATCTAGTGAGAACTATAACTTCAAAAGAAAAACATGTTGAAACATGACCGTCAGTTTTATTTAGTGATATTTAGTCAAGGTGCTGACTTTTATATCTTAAAAACTAATGTAGAATGAATTGACGTAAGTTTATTGTGTGTGTCAGTACTGCGCTAGTGCTAGACAGCGTATTTTCCTCTATGTTGACAGGAGAAAAGATCCACAACTAATCTTTTTTCGTAGAATATTGTGGATTGTTTTCCATTGTGTTAAGGTTGAAACTACGCATATCTTCGTCATTTCCGTGTCATACCAACTCACAGAGCATATACAAATACTACAAACTTGTACAGACTTACAATGAAAATGTCATTAAAATTTCTTCTACTGTTGGTGTTTCGTTGCAAAGCATACTATTATCCGTCATATTCAATGTTAACAAGCATCTCGTATCTGAACAGTGAAATATCCATTTATGTCGACCAGAAAACGCCTAATCGATACTATATGTCACCAATAGCTATTCTAAGTTTAAATCAAACAAAGTTAATCGAAAATTCTTTGATTAATCGATCATCACTGCATCTATCTTTACTTCTTTATACACCTAAAGTGCAAACAATTATTCGACAATATCTTCAAAAGATGTTTAACCATTGTAAAATATTGTGTGAAATAAAAATGATGCCATTAAATATGACTCGCATCGTATGGAAACATCAAACAAATCCTATAATAGCCGATTACTCTCTTAACTCAACATGGAAATCAGATACAATTCAACATTATACTATTTATTTCAATATTGATTGTTCAACCAAGATGGCTTGCAACACATTATATTCAAATTTACGTGAATATCCACAAATATTGTTTAGCTTCTATTTCCAATATACAAGACTTCAACATGATAAACGTGATACTGATATTAGAATAACTAATGGTCATTTCTTGAATACAACATATGGAAAGTTAAAAAAAATGGATACTGAGTCGAATATGCGATATTTATGGAAGGATACAATGGATGAACTAATATTGCAACTTCTCAACTTGGCTAACAGTTGCGCATCAACTGAAGCTGATAGAGAAAAAATGAAAGAAGATATTGTTAGAAAAATTTCAATTGAAACTGAAGTATCATCTGAATACAGTACGATATGGAATTCTGTTTATTAGCAGTCATCATTCAAACATCGTCCGGATCGATTAGTTAAGAAGTTGAATGAAAGAGCTTCAATATCAAACAGTTATAGTCCAGTACCTTTCTATCGGAGACCACCTGGTATTGATGGTAGCCTCGTTTATAATCGTGGAAATTCTTTTGCAAGTAGAGTTCGCCGAACATCGGACATGTCCGACTTGACTAATAATGTAGATTCGAATTCTACCATGTCTAATGAGGATTTATCGCCGGCACCCAATGACTCTGATCGAAATGACATAGAACACGAATTTGTCGATGTTGAAGATGGAAAATATAGTCTGAAACCACTTACTTTGTATAAAATCAATCTCGACCACTTTCAAAACAAAACACAGGTCATCTACATAAAAATTATTAAACGATTCGGTCGGTTAATCAGGTCGATTCCTGTTCGTTTTGCTGATGACGCTAATTTTTAAAAGAAATTATGCATTTGTAGTTCCACAAACAGATTTGTGCATGTTCAAGTTTGAAAGTGCCCTCTTTCTGTACCGAATGTACTTGAGACAAAGTATTCGTTGCATAATGAAACCGCCTGTTCTTTCGGAATAAATTTAGTTGTAAGACTTGGCTCACTTGGGAAGCACTTGCTAAGTAAAATCACAAATGCTTTGACAACGAACTTTCTAGCAATAAAACTAAGTATAGTAAATTTTTGAAGAAGTACTTGTAAAAGTTTAGGGCCAGCAAGTGATGTCAAAAATACTAATCAAGTGTTTTCCAGTACTTATCAGAGATGGCAATGGTGCGGACGAGGAACCTCGCGATTTCTCACAGGGTGGATCCCACGAGAAAGAGTTGTTGACTCAGGTGATGATTCTTCGTGCGAACCAAAAGAAACACTGAGTAGCTTATGCTAGCGTACTAGAGATCTGCAGGTTATGACTTTTGGCAACGTCTAACCTCACCTATAGAGGCTTCTAGAACCTAAACCTAACCTAATCTATGAAACTCTCAACCTAAACCTAACATAGGTTAACCTAATTTAATCTGTGGAGTTTTTTCTGTAACAAACTAACCAAAAAATCACATCGAAGTTCTTTTCTTATCATCGAGAACTGACGTATTTTCTTATATGTAACTGTTCTCTTACACTCACTCCATACCGTGTATTTGGTGAGTGCTTTAAAAAATTCGAGTGAATCTTTATCTACAGTCTCTGAACAAACGTCGAAACAACGTCCTGTATTACAATTTCGCGAAGTTGTTGAACAAGTTTTGACATCAAAGAAGTTTATTGATACAATCGCAAAACAAATTGAAACAGTGTTTGACAAGATCAATATGTGACTCAATGAACACGAGACGCAAATATCAGAAACAAAAACGAATGTCAAAATATTGGAAACTAAAATTCATGAACAAAGTGATTCATTACGTCAGCAGGAGTCGATAATGAATGATATAGTCTTAAAGTTGAAAACTGACATTCAACAATTAAGTAATCGATTAAATCACTTTGAACAATACGATCGTCGAGTCAGCCGCGAATACTCCACGTAAACGAAACTTTAAAAGAAAATACAGTAAATATCATTTTGGAAATGGCCGAAAAATTAGATATTCCAATATATGAAGAAGATATATCACGAAATCATCGAGTTGGCCCAGTCCAGTCGCGCTCAAAAACACCACGTGCCATAACTGAAGCGCGCCATAAGTTTCTGAAAAACTGGTTTTCCAGAAAACCGGGTCTTCACGAGTCAAGAGACCTAATCCTTTTAGGCTTTTTAATATCCTCTATCGATCAGCCCCGAATCCCATCCCGCCGTGTGTGACAGACAGGGTCGGGACGAAAAAAGGTTTACGCTCATGGGCTCGGGACAAGAAAAAAATTTCACGGGATCCGGACAAGTTGCAGAAAAATGTTGTCCCGTAATCTTTTGATTGTAGTTATGCTGTAACTTCAAATGTTTAATTCTTGTAATGCTATCAAGTCAAAACCGTAATTTTATAATAACTAAAGATTAGCCTGAAGAGGTGAAATAGTCTAGGTTTAAACTTGAGAAGATGTTCCCATATCCAAAACTAGGTTTACAGTTCGTTCCTTTCGATTCTGAGATAGTGAGTGAGTGGATGTAAAATATTTTTTTAAAGAGTAACTTTTAATTTCAGAATCAAATAAATTAGGCTTAAATTTTGTCATGCGGAGTTTTTGCAAAAATAAGTTAGGGACTTTAGGCGTCTCTTGTAGCAGTTACAGTTTATCACAACAGAAAAATATTTTTTAAAAAAATACGGGACAAAAAAGCCCGTACATTTTTTTCATGGGACAGATGGGCTTGGAACAATATTATTTGTCCACGGGCTCGGACTTACGGGTCCAGGCACGTAGCCAGGATTTTGGGGTATACTGGATCTCAACTTCAGAGCATGGGACCCAGATGAACCTTATGGAGGATGATATTGGGCCCAAATGATAAGTTTCTAATAAAAAAACTTTGCGATCGGAGTTCGCGAAAAAAAAAGTTTTTTCTTTGGGCACCCCCCTCAAAATTTTTTTGTTTTTTTTAGTATTCCATTTTCTAGAATTTTATCGTAATCTACATCGAATTTCATCGGCAGATTCTAAATTTCATCTAAAAA